CTTACCAGCCACCTCAACGGCTCCACCCACCGTGAACCTAACCTTACCTCAGCCCTACAAAAATCGGTCGGCCGCCACCCATACCCCTGAAAATGGCCGACCGGAACCCCCATTACCGAAAACCACCCCACCGAAACCACCACAGCCACCACCGACCAAAATCAACCCCCAAAATCATCCCCTAACCTGAATCCCATTCCCCGAAACCACCACAGCCACCACCCTAAAATCCCACCCAACCGCCGAAACCCCCTCTACTCGCCGACAATCCCCTAAACCGTCGAAAACAACTGGAAATCTCTGAAACTCTTACCCAAATTCAACCTCAAGTCATCCCTAGAAATTAATTCATTGTTTTTTTTTAATTCCTTGATATTAAGGGCTTCGATGGTTTTCATGGGTAAGGGTTGGAATCAGGCCAATTTTTGTCGGGGAAAGGTGGGAACGGGGTTTAGGCGGTGCGGATGGGGGTTCGGCGGTGGAGGAGGGGCTTCCGGAGGTCGGGGTTAGGGACCTTAGGGTGTTCGTTTGGGGCTGGCTTGGTTTAAAAAAAATTAGGTTTTTTTTTACCAATAATTTAGTGGCACGTGTCACTCAAATTAAAAAAAAAAAGTTTACCCGTTGTTCAGGTTACCGGACATGAGCGTCCAATAGAAGAAGATCCTCTATAAAGGCGGGATTATTAAATAATAATCTAAAGGTGGGATTAAGCGATCCGGCTAAAGGTGGGATTATTAGAATCAATTTTTCCTAATGTAGAATATTTAGATATACGATATCTTATAGAGTGTACTTTTTGTGTCCAGCTAGGCGGTTCCCAGGTTAATAAAATTTTAAAATAAAATTTTGACTTGAATGTTAAATACAGTCAAATAATTCGTTCTGATAATGTATGATATTTTAACATAAGAAGTGGTATGGCCTGGTTTATATTTATATTATAGTGTATTTTTTTTGTACTTTTGTTTATAAATAGATATCTAGGTTATTATTAACTTGAAATTATAAGTATTGAACTTAAATTATTTTCACTGAACTAAAAGTATTTTTACCAAACTAAAAGTATTTTTACCAAACTAAAAGTTACTTCGTTAGTGCTATAGGGGTTACTTTTTGGTCACTGTTATAGCGATTTTTTTTAATATTTTCTTAAATAAGTTAATTAACAATGCATTTTGAATGCGACTAGTCACACCATCTGGTCGGACAAAGTGATACCCATAAAATTAACCAAGTAACCCTTGTAATGCTAACTGAGTAGCTTCTAACACGGACTAATTAGTAACCTACATCTATAACATTAATTGAGTAACAACTATAACACTGACCAAATAACCCCTAGCACTAACAAAGTAACTCTTGTAATAGTTGGTGACACCGGTTGGCCAGCTATGTATAAAAATGTGTGATTAAAACGAATTTGATGTTGAAATAAAATTGAATTTTTGGATATTTATTAAAAGTTATGATTAAATTTGTACATATGAAATGTTAGAATTTTATCGAGAATAAAATTCTATACAACAATTTTATCTTAAAAAATCTATCCAAAAATCGCTTACTTAGCATTATATGTGTCACAATAATACCTATTTTTTTGCCTACGTGGCGCGACACTTGGCAAAAAACTGAATTGCCAAGTGTTGTTGTCTCGTGGCATGGATGCGAGACCGACTTTATATATTAGTGATATATATATTAGTGACTAGTTTGGTGCGATGCCCGTGTTGTTTATCGAATTTTAAGACCAACTTTTTTTTTATATGAGAATATTATAAATGAATGTTGTTCGTTTTGAACTTTATATTTCATTCGATCCAAAAAATTATAATATAACAACAAATTTATATGATAAATTATTTAATTGTTGTTTACGTGGCGCACATCATATAAATCCTTTGTGGCATGCAATATTTAATTGTTGCCTATACGGCTCGACACTTGCAAAAAGTTGGAACGCCAAGTGTTGTTGTCTCGTGACAGCTTTATATATTAGTTATATGATACGTTTTTGGAAAAGCCATGACGTTAGCTAACCAATACAACTAGTTTGACTGATTTCAGAGTTCATTAGGTCGGTCAATGAAATAACCCCCATTACAGTAACGAAGTAACCCATATAATGACTGGCCATACTGTGCATCTAGCCACATATAAAATTTGTGAATATATAAAGAGAAGAGGGGTTTAGAGTTATAGATTTTCCTAGATTTCCCTTTATCAACATTTTTTCTTTCTTTTTTTTTTAAAAAAAAAAAAACTACCATTCCTATTAACCTTTAAAAAAGACAAAAAAAAAAAAAAACTACCATCATAGCATAATACAAGGAGTATTTATCTACCCTTTTTTAACTACTCTATTTATATTAATTGTTTTTTTTTAATTAAAAAGCAATTATAAAAAAATTAATGCTTTTTATCAATCACTTTAAATTTATACCCACTAATATTTTTATAATTAGAAAAAGTAAGAAATTAGAGCTAAATATGTTTCTTATATTGCACACACACGCATTACGTACGTGTGTTTCTTAGCTTGTATAATTAATGTATAATGGTTAGAATTGTGCATAGGTAAATATGCCATTTAACTTATTGCATATATATAATATTAAAAAAAAACAGAGCAAATATGATTTATAATGTGTTATCCTTAACTATTTTATGAAAACAATAAAGTTTAGACAAGAAAAATTGAGACTAAATAAGGACCGGTTCACTTCATCTTTTATTTGCTGAATTAAAATTATTTTTATTGAATTAAAATTAAAATTTTCTATTAAAGTGAAATTATTTTTACTAATTCTGTATTATAGTTCTTTTTTAAAGTTACCGATGTTTATTAAATTGAACTCTTTTTTACTTAACTAAAATTATTTCTATTGAATATTTTTTTTTCAGGTGAAGTGAGTGAACATGGCCTAAGTCAACAAAAATTCATAAAAAAATACAAGTTGGATAAAAATTGGTAATACATTGCAAAATGTAAAGTCTATAATAAAAATGGCTATAAAAATATGTTTTTTTCCCTTATATCTATAAGTTACAGTAAGGGGTTGTTCTCTTACGTTAAAATTCAGTTCAGTTCAGTTCAACTCAGTTTAGTTCAGTTCAGTTCAGTTTGGTTTAGTTCAGTTTAGTTCAGTTCAGCTCAGCTCCTAATTTCCTTCTCTTATAAAATATTCATTTCAATTCAGTTCAGCTCAGCTCAGCTCCTAATTTCCTTCTCTTATAAAATATTCATTTCAGTTCAGTTTAGTTCAGTTCAGTTGAGTTCAGTCAATGAGAACATACCCTAAATCAAAACTTTTTTAAATTTCACTACATATGTATGTAGTAAATGACAGGGCAACATGAAAAATGAAAACAAAAAGTATAATAAGTTAATCTTTAAACATTGTCAAAAAAAAAAGTTACTCTTTAAAATACGTCATCCATTTCAAGTAAGATGACACGTTTTGACTTTTGATAATATTTATAAACTTTGTTTTGACTGACATGTATGATTTATAAATTTATAAAAATAGCCATATGGATTATTATTAGATTCATTTTAATATGTATTTAATTAAAATTCAATTTATAGTATTTTTCACAATTGTATAATTAAGAATATCTTTGTAGAATTTTGTATTGACAAACATTATGATAGAAAATGTCATTCAATTTAGAATGAAGTAACTTATTTAATGCTTCCTCATACAACCGTGGAATGCTCCCTTTATTTTTTTTAAAAGCAATATCTTCACCAACATAATTGTTTGAGACACAACTTTGATTATTACTCCCACATTTTCAAATACTTGTTTCATTTTTCCGTGTGTAGAGTTTTAGGATAAATTGGAGAAATTAATAAAAAAATAGAGGTAAAGGGTAGACAGAAGAATAAAAAATTGTAAAAAGTAAAAGTGGTTGAGAGAATTGGAGCAAAGAGAATATGAAATTAATAAAATATGATTTATGTTGGGTCTACTAATCGAGAGAAATAAATTAAATGTTGTGAAAAATTTCTCAGAATAGAAAAGTGAAACAAGTATTTTAAAACAGTGGGAGTAATTATTTTAATGACAAAATAGTACTCCGTATAAAATATGAGGAAATACAAGTTGATCCCCTTGATAAACGATTTTTTTTTATCAAGTGGCATTCTTGTAATTATTTTGTACGAAATAACAATAAACAATGGAAGGAGGTGAGGTGTCACACGTTTTCCTGACACATCACATGCAAGTTGTATTTGACGGAACATCTAACGACCTTCTGCACTGCCGTTGATAGTTAGCCAAGGTTAACCACCTAGAGTAAACTCCCTTTTCTCCATTTTCGACAGACTCCTCCCTTTTCCTCCTTTTCTCTTGCTCAAGTTTACCCGATTTTCCAGTTCTTTTCTCCGATTTTCCATCGCTGGTGGAGCACTATATCATTCGACCGATTTTCCGCTTAACTGGTAGAGCACTAACGCATTGTTAAGGTATGATTTCTGAATAACTGCTTTCTGAATTTATTCAGTAGTTCATACTTTTAGAAAAATAGAATTCAAAACTTGCTTGTTTATTTCATAAGTTGTGCAATTGAACTCGCAAATTGAAGTCATGCATCAATAATTTCAGTTCTCCTACTCGCAAATTAATTTTTATTCGGGTAATTTTGTTAAGGTATGATTTTAGAATACCTAATTTCTGAATTGCTTTAGTAGCTCATGCTTTTAGAAAAATTGAGTTGAAAACTTGTTTGTTTATTTCATAAGTTGTGCAATTGAACTCGCAAATTAATTTTTGAATGGCAATTGAGTGTGTGTAATTGTTTTTGGTTGGTTCTAATCTATTTTTATGCTTCTGAGTCGGGTAATTTTGTTTTGGCAATTGAACATTTGATTGTGAAAATATGTTTGAATATGGGTTTTTGTGAAAATATGGAAACTCTAGTGATATGGAAAATCTAAAAATTGTGAGAATATGGGTTTTTGTGTGTCAATTATGGTTGTAGTGATCTCTTATACCATGGATGTGGGTGATGGTGATCTTAATCCTCCTGGTGTTGTTAAATGTATTAATTTGGTTGAGGACGTAGTTGACCCCAACCTAGAATTTGTTCAAGATTCTGGCTGTGAGGGAAGCATGGAAAATATGGAGTTGAATCCGAGCTCAAACATGTGTTTTGAATCTGGTTGTGTGGGGAATGGGATAAGCATGGAAAATATGGAACTGTTGAACCCTAGCTCTCCTCTCATTGGATCACAGCAGGTTGTCTACACATCTCCTATACAGACAGTTCGCACTGTCCAGACTGTTAAGACTGTTGTATCAACTAATGTGCCCCTTTTTGAACCTCCAAAGGAGGGTATGGTATTCAAGAGCTGGGAGGACATAGAGGAGTACTTCAAAATGTATGCTTTTAGTAATGGATTTGGTGTAACTAGAGTGCAGGGTTCTTTTCCTAAGGCAACTAAGGAGCGTAGGGGTACTAGGTGGAGGTGTGAATGCTGGGGTCCCCTGAACATGAGGGCCCTAAGGGAGGCCAAGAAGAGGGCCAAAGCAATGGAAGTCGGTGGAACTGGGGGCAAGGTAAACGGTGTAATAAGGGTGGATGAGCTGAAACAAGGAAAGAGAAAGTCTAAAAATTGCTTTTGTCCTGCAAACATTTATGCAAGTGTTAACGATGCGGGTGAGTGGGTTATACGGTTAGCCGAACAAGAACATCATGGCCACAAACCAACCCCGACAAAGGCAAATCTAGTGAAAGAGTACAGGTTGAAGCATTACACTTCATCTGTACGCAAGAAGCTAATGAAGTTCTACGAAGAGGGTGTTCCTGTTAAGAAAACACATGGATGCTTGTCCCATGAAAAAGACAAACTCCTTAATGTGAAGGACCTAGAACACGAGGTATACAAAGCTAAGAAGTTGAAAATGGAAGGAGGCGATGCCATAACAATGATGAAGTATTTTGAGAAGATGCAAGCCGACAACCAAAACTTTTATCATGCACATCGGTTGGATGAAGAAGGGCGGCTAAAGGATGTGCTATGGGTGGATGCTAGGAGTCGTGCGGCCTACGAAGATTTCGGAGACGTGGTATGTTTTGATGCCACGTACTTGACCAACAACTACGAGCTCCCTTTTGCAAATTTTGTTGGCGTGAATCATCATGGTCAATCAATTCTTTTTGGATGTGCCTTGGTATCACGCGAAGATTGTGAAACCTATTCTTGGGTGTTTACGCAATGGCTAGCATGTATGGGGAATCGGGCACCCTTGGGAATTCTTACCGATCAAGCAGCAACAATGAGAAGGCCGCTTGCAGAAATTATGCCAACAGCACGCCATAGATGGTGCATATGGCACATTATGCGAAAGCTTCCTGAGAAGCTTGGGAAATGCGAGTTGTAAGTGTATCCTTAACTTTTGTAAATGTGCATACTACTTGTCTTTTGCATAACAATTGATTCACCCCCCCTTCCCTTAAATATGGAGCATCCTCACTTCTCATGATAAAGATCTGAGCATCTTGCTGGCAGTGTGCCCTCACAATTTTGGCATAATTTAGGCAGTGTTGTTGCTTATTGTTGTATATTCAATCTACCATAGATTTTTGTAAATGTGAATTCACTTATATTGCTACTACAAGTATGTTGCATAACAATTTATTCCCCCCCCCCCCTCTCTCTCTCTCTCTCTCTCTCAAATATGAGCATCCTCTCTTCTCATTATATAGCAAGTAGGATCTGATCATCTGATCACCAAGTAATTAATTTTGTCTTTACTTGCTGCTGTCCAGATGTGCTTGTTGTTGTTGTTGTATATTCAATCTGCCATATTAAATCGGCCATAGATTCTTTATAGTCTTATATGTATATTCAATCAACCATAAATATTTGTCAGGTATGCTGAATTCAAAAATCCTCTTAAAGCTCTCATTTATGAAAGCTTCACGGTTAAGGAATTTGAGAGTCGGTGGCTTGAGTTTATGAAGAAGTATGGCCTGGAAGAAAATGAATGGCTATGTGACCTGTTTGAAGAGCGTCACATGTGGATCCCGGCATATATGAAGGAGTACTTCTGGGCTGGAATGAAGACTACCCAACGTGTAGAAAGCATCAATAGCTTTTGTTTCGGGGTTTTCTGATGTCCTGCGGGAGAGCTACAATTCCGAGACTGGAACCGGACGCCTGTACCTGCAAAATAACGGAGACTCCTGGTGGTGGGAGCTCCGCCTCCAACGGTCAAGTTAGTACTTGATTAAGGAGTAATTAATGCGGAAATTAGAGTGAGTGGGTCTCTCTAGGTGAGAGTGTTTAATGTGAGTTTTTAGCGTAATCAGCCTGTAACTCTGGGTGTAATCAATGTGTTTTTTCCGTAATCCCCCCTTAATGAGGATTAAGGGAGGTATTTATAACCTTGGGAAAAGTGCCAATCCTAGGTTTAGGTTAACCTAGGGCCGATTGGGCTTCCCTCAGAAGTTGGGCCTGGGTGGCCGGTTTCTCCATTAGGCATGGAGTATGCCACGTGTCATGACATAACAGGTCCAAGGTGGACGAATAAGCGCGTGCCACGTGGCAAGCCCTGACAGTTCCAATGGGGGACACTTGGCAGGACCTGATTGGCCCACGTGGCGCATTCCGATTGGTGGGAGTAAAATCCCCTAATCATTTGCCCCTCACAGGTGGCACGTGACTGGTCACGTGTTACCTGTGACAGGTGCCGCACTGTAACAGGCGACGGCCTGCTACATGTGTCAGTCGGCGAAAGGCTGAGAGATTTTCCCGCCCAAATTTTGAATTCTGAAAGTGACCCTTCGCCTTCTCACTTCGCCTATATAAGGGAGAGTTGTCTTGAGTCATTTTCACACTTGAGAACTTTGTGAGAGAACATTCGGACCCCTGAACTTGCTCTGACATTTTGGACCTTTTCTGCCTACCGCCTGTTCTGACAAGCCGACTGCACAGGATTTTCAGCACTTCATCAATCGTCACTCGTTCAGGTAACTGTCGGTTCTCTTACTCTTAATTTTCTTTTTATTTTTTGAAATGGCACCACGGAAGCACACGACACGACCTAGGTTAGTGATCAGCCGGTCACCGGGGACGGCTGAATCTAGGACTAGGAGTGCCGCCTGCCCTTTTCCGGACCCATCTTTGCCCTTTATACAAAGTCCGACTGTATCTGTGTCTATGCAGAGCAGGATGGCCAGAACGAAAAAGACTGCTAGGATCTCAAATTCAGACGGCTCCTCCCACAGGGTGCCGATTAGTGAAACATCTGACCAGGCGCCAGATGTGGAAGTGAAACAAGGCGGCCTGAAAGCCGGCAATTCTGAGGGAGGAGTCATAGTGACCCCTTCCCATTTAACAGTTAACAATTCTGCTTCTTTTCAAAGAGAGGAGGCGGGCCCCTCCGGGAGAGGGGAGGAGTCGTCCTCTTCGGACTCGTCAGAGGGCGATTCCGAGTCTAGCTCTTCTGACCATGCCTCTCTGGACACAGAAGAGAGAAAAACAGCCGCCTGCAAGAGGCGAGGCTTTCTCACGCAGTTGAGAAGGGGGACAATTGGGCGGAGCCATCCGCCTCTTATCGAGAGCAAAATACCCCCTACTACTGCACGGTACCTCGGGGCCGGATCACAGCCATGCAAGAGAAAGTGGAGAGCTTTATTGCAAACCACACCATGGGCCCCGACTTTTTAGTGTTTGTGCCGGATCCAGAAGACACAGTCGTCTGGCCGGCTGGTACCAGTTATGATAGCGCCTGCTTTGGCTGCTACGAGGCGGCCATCAAGGCTGGGCTGCGCTTCCCGTTACATCCGGCTGTTCAGCGGATATTGGATGGGTATGAGTTGGGGTTATGGCAGTTAGCCCCAAACTCCTGGGTCAACGTACTCGGCTATGTGGCCGGGTGCGAACTGCACGGGGTGGAGCCGAGCTTCGAGGCCTTCGCCCATATGAACTATCTCAGCCGGACCCCTAAGGCAGGCGGTACCGGCTGGTATCAATTGACAAGCCACAGGGGCTACCTCATGACGAGAGGTAAAGCAAACAAGTGGAAGGACTGGCGGAGCACCTTCCTCATCATTGAGAGTTCAGACACTGAGCTGAACAAGCGCTTCAATAGGTGGAACAGGAATCCGCCCCTTCTTGCAGGCGGCCGTAGCATGCCGCCTGTTCCCCCCAAGGCTAAGAAAGAGATCCTTGATAAAGGACTCTTTAAAGTAGAGTCGAGGGTCGACTCTACTTCAGGGGTACGAGAGCAAGTACCCCTGCACTGCGTCCCGAGCTTCAAATGGCTCTATGACGAGTACTTTTTGGCCGCCTGTGGCCTCAGCAGTCGGTGCTCAAGAGGTAGTCGGCCTGTCGAATACTCTGTTGTTCCATACATTTCTTGTTATGACTTTTATTAACTTTGCTGTTTGTTTTTGCAGCTGACGCCATGAGCAAAATTACCGCCTCCAAGACTGCGGCGGCCATGTTGCGGGCCTCCATCATGCAACAAGCTTCAACCGACTCCCCCAAGAAGGGGGCACCCTTGGTGAGCTCCAAACCTTTCACCCTCTTTTTGGAGTCGTGTTTATGCATATACTGACTTTTTTTCTTCTTTTTTAGACGGGTGCTCCAAGGGCTTCTTCTTCCCAACAGCCGGACCCCAAGGCCCGGAGGACGGCTGTTGCGAGCTCTCCTGGATCTGCCAGGAAACATGTGGCGGCTGAGAAACAGCCGGCCACTTCTTCTAAAACTCTAACTGGGCCGCCTAGAAGTATGACGTTGTCCTTGTAAATTTTAGACTTGCTCCCTTTTTTACTAGGTCTAATCCGTTTGTTTATGCTTGTTGCAGCCGGCCCTCAGGAGCCTGACTTGGTAGAGGTGGCCAAGTCTATGATCAGAGCCGTTCCTCCAGCTGAAAAGGAGGCGGTCAGGGGTGTCGGCACCCTTGACCTAGACGGGATTGCAGGGGTCCTTGCTGAGGTATACTTAGCATATTTTTGAGTATTTGAATTCCAGGACGCCTGTTTTCTTTTTGTTTGGAAACTGACGCCTGTTCCTTTGTACTTAGGCCCTGCTCCGAGTGAACGGCCTTCGCAAGCAGCTTGACCGGAAAAACAAAGAGGTAAAGGCTGCAAAAGCTATGGCCGCCTCTGACTGTGATAAGGCAATGTTTCAAATTGCCCAAAATGAAGTTCTGACCATTGATATTCTTTATTATCAGGCGCAGGCTACCGCCGCTGTTCGGGCTCAGTTAGAGGCGGCCCAGAAGAGGAATGGCAAGCTGGAGTCGACCATCACCAATCTCAAGGCCGAGCTGAAACCTCTTCGCCTAAAAATGTACTCATACGAAGACATGGAGAAATCCTTGGCCAACGTAAAGGAACGCCTGGTGACCCAGGAGAAGAGTCTTACTCAGGAGCTCTCGGAAAAGGCCGAGCAAGAGAAGAAAGAGCTGGTCCGGGAGATGATGGAAGACTCCGCTCAAATCCAGCGCATGACTTGGGGCCGCCTCTTCCCCAATGCCGACTTTGCCTCTTGGGAAAAAACGTACCGCCAGTGTTCTGATACATATAATCAAGAGATCCTGGCGGTTGCTGAGGAAGAGGCGTTGGAGGAAGCGTTGGAGGAGGAGGAGCCGGTAGTGGCGCTTGTGCCGCTTGGGGGTAATGCATCAAAAAAGGATGCAGCTGAAGCCGAGTCCAGCAAGAAGAGTGCTGACCAGGCGGCAGCTGCTAATATTGAAGATCTGCCCCCTTCTTAAGCTTTATGTATTCTTTCCACGGCCTGCGTGCCGTTTGTTTTGTATTTACCCGGCCAGGGGGCCGGGGCTTTGAATATTTTGCCGGTCTTTAATGACCGGCTTCTTTTTAATGAATTTTTGTTTTGCTTCAAATTTGTCTAAGTATTGAATATTCTAATATCCAATTGTTCACTATACCGACTGTTTTACATGGCCGATAGTTGCAGACAGGTACGGATAGTTAGTCACGCCGCCTATGCCCCTGGACGATTGGTTGTCTGTTTCCAGGATAGACGATCAGTCGGCCATTTATCCAATCGGTATTCGAACTATTTTAAAGACTGGATCCTTTTTAGGCAGGCGGTCCTGTCATATGTAAATTTAACCAAGTAGGAAAGTGGTCTGACCAAGTGAACATGATTGTTACTTAGTTGCCAAGGAACTGAGTAGTAGAGGTATCAAGCGGTGGGTACCGGTTGTTCCCCTTTATTCGCCAATGTTTGTTGGCTTTTAACTCATAAGTTGTTAACCTAGCAGGAGTAGTGGTTGAGAGCCCCTGTTTGCGAAAAACAGGCGGACGACTCATACCTTTTAGGCTCCATACTAAGTTTGAGGGAGTGACTATGAGTTAACTTTGGAGTTACTCAATCGCCGTCACTCCTGCTTGAGTAGTAAAGGTACCAGGCGGCGGAGGCCGGCTGATCCTTTAGATTTGCCAATGTTTGTTGGCTATTAACTCAAGAGGTTACCTAGTAGGAATAGGGGTTTGAGTGCCGCTGTTTGCCAAAAAACAGGCGGTCTACTCAAACCTTTTAAGTTCCATACCAAGTTTGAGGGAATGACTATGAGTTAACGTTGGTGTTACTCAGTCGCCGTCACTCTTGCTTGAGTAGTAGAGGTACCAGGCGGCGGAGGCCGGCTAGACCCCTTGATTTGCCAAGGTTTGTTGGCTATTAACTCAAGAGGTTACCTAGTAGGAATAGGGGTTTGAGTGCCGCTGTTTGCCAAAAAATAGGCGGTCTACTCAAACCTTTTAAGTTCCATACCAAGTTTGAGGGAGTGACTATGAGTTAACGTTGGTGTTACTCAGTCGCCGTCACTCTTGCTTGAGTAGTAGAGGTACCAGGCGGCGGAGGCCGGCTAGACCCCTTGATTTGCCAAAGTTTGTTGGCTATTAACTCAAGAGGTACCCCCTGCATTTATCCCAAGTAATACAGGCGGTCATCTGACTCAGATGTCAACTGCTACCACTAGTTTGGTTAGTGATAAGAGTTATCCTTGTCTCAAAAACGGCTACGTGATTGCCCTTGGGGACAGTCGTATAGGTGCTGTGTAATTAGTTTATAGAACAATGTTCCACCCAAAAGGGAGCTGCTCTCTGCGACGAATTTCATCCGGAGGGATGCCGTCGAA